ATAACAATTATGTCATGAGTTAAAAAGAATTATAAACAATGAGTCTGGCCAAAGTAACAGCGCAACTCTATAGATTTATGAATAAGCAAACAATAAATAAATGACCAAAGTTCGAAAAACTTACACTGGCCCTCTCTTCCTTCGGAAATTACTGGATGGAAATTTCTTGTTTATATGATGAATCCCAATACTCTTTGACGCCACCCACCTAAAAAATTTATTGCAACTCGTTTTGGTTACTGAATTTTGTACCTTTCTTAGTTACAACGTTGCTATTTTTCTATGTTAAGCTAACTTACATACTGTCAGACCCAATTCAATCTTTTTTTTTACTAATAATTTTTGAATTAAGACAGCTCGTCATAATTTTAAGGGCTCTACATTTAAAGTGATTGTCACTATAAAAAGTAGGACATATATTTGTAGTAGCAAACCAAAAGTTGAAGACGTCGTAAAAATCATATGTTGCATTGCAGTTAACACTAAATACATCACACACACTTAGTGAAACCGTAAAGAAAGCTTGTATGTTCAAAAGTTATCAGGATATTCAACATTTTCAGAACACTGCTTTCCGTATATTCAAACAAACGAAACTTGAGCACCTCGCAAACTGATATCCACATAAAGAAATTTAAAACACACGCACAACCAAGAACATGAACCTTCTTAAGTGAGCAACTGTCGGGCTCTGTGTCGCTGGAGATGCATACTGCACGAAGCAACAGTTATACACTTGACCCCCATGAAGAACAACTTCAAACTCTGGTTTCTAAAGGTGAAAAGAGGTAAAGCGTAAATATAAATTCACGAAGTATGAAATATTAAAAACTTCTAAAATGAGTTTATTTCAATCATTTTCACTACATTGAGTAAGATCTAAACCACCAATTAAATGTCACACGCCACAAAATACTCAAAACTACAGAGCATTGCTTAAGAATCTATACATAAAACAAAATTATCCACTTTTTCTGCAAAACCAGTAAATAAATTGTAAACAGAATCTCATCCAAAATGAGCCGACGTGTTTCCTTCCACCTTTTGACAGGACCAATAAAGCACAAAGAGAGCATAAAGTAAAAAAAAAAAAAGCATCATGAACATTGCAGTCGTCGACAGTGAGTGAATTACTTCAGTTTATTAATGTAGAAAGAACCATTTTCGAGTACATGATTACAATAAAAACAAGTCTCCTTATTTCACAGAAAATGTTGGGCCTCAAGACCAAAATAGTGGTATGCTAACAACATGTTTGACTGTTCATGATTATGTTTCTCTATGAACAATTTCCTATGTAACCTATACCTGCACATACAAAACACAAAGAGTTAAGTTGGATACCTGTCATCAGTTGTTACATGGGCTTAATGAGGGGAAAACCATACTTTATTGCAGCTTCAAGGGTCCTCCTAGCCTCATTGGACTCTACAGCAAAAAACCAAGGTAGTGAATCATACTTAACGTTAGAACAACACTTTAGATTAGACTTGATCATATCATCTAAAAATATTTATAAAGTTTGAAGAAGAATGTCCACAAAATCTCACACATAGCAACATACTTTGCAACTTGCATGATAAATTATAAACTAAAATTGATAATAATATCATGTGATTGCAAACCATTGTATCCCGTCAACAGTAACATTGTCAT